CACTGTCCGCTAAGATTAGCTGAGCGTTATTTTAATTCGCCGGTGACATACAATGCTGGACGAAAGAAGAATGCTGCACCAGTGCTTTTTGCAATAAACATTTTATATCATGTTGTCGGTACGATTTAATATTCCAGGAATTCTGTTCAGTTTGAATACGGATATTCGATCGTTGATACACAAGTTTTGTTGCGTGGTACACAATTAACTTATTTTATGTAACACCGCTAACGAGGGAAAATAAAAGTACTAAATACGGTGTATGTGTGAATATTATCACGAAAACATAATTAATCTTATTTTTGTCGAGCTAGTTCTTTCACCTGTTGCAGTCTTTTGAAGAAAATACGTGCTTCCTTGCTTTTGTGCTTGCTTTTGTTGCTTTTTTTTAATCTCGCGTGGTAGATATATCTATGAAAAATTCACTACATTTGTAAAATACCCCTCCATAATTCTATTCGATTCGAATGTGTTCACGAAACGACATTTTAAGATCGAAATAGCCCGGAATACGAACTCGTTTGCTCCATCGGTGCTTTTTAAAGAACGTTTCGGTTTATGAAAGTAACGCTGAACGAAACGTTGCACGCGATTCACGATATTCAGAAGGCAGCCATTGGAAAGTGTGTTGGAAACGTTATCGTTCCGATTGGACATTCGCCGGCGAGTCCTCGATGTTTGACCGGTCGTAAAAGTAAATCCCTGGCCGTAATCTGTTTCGGAAGATGGCGATTTCTCGCGGCAGCGTGGCACGCGATAAAGCAGTCGACTTTGTAAGACTCTATTTCACCGGGCGAACGAAGAACGGTGAAATGGAAGGAAAGGAAAGGAGTTTCTCACCTACACGGGCTATTGGCGAGAAAAGTAGCAACCGCAGCGAACTTCGCAACGTTAACTAACGAGAAACCGCCTTCAAAAGTTACTGCTTCAATAATCTCCATGACCATTTTCTCATATTTATAGGAACGCGTGTATCGTTTCCATTAGCACTCAGCTAATTGCTAGTTTGTTTCGTTTTCGATTTAAAAGAGCTTCGTGCACTTGTAGTTCCAACGTTATCTAAATAGTATGTTAATACGAATAAACTGTACGATGTTATTTAAGTTCGATATTTTATAATATTTTTTAATGGGAGAAGATGCTCCTCGAACTCTACGCTCAGCAGTCGAAGTTATTTACATCGTTCCTTCGTCCATGCTGCGAGTACATTTAATTAATAAAAGTTAAGACGAAATAAAATTCTTTCCCACGGGACTTCCTTTTTGAGAGCGTCAGTTTTAAAAATGCAACGAACGAGGAAGTCCGCAGCTCGAAGATAAAATGTTGAAATTATTATTCGTCTGCTCGTTTCATCGTCTGAATTTCGAAATAATTTTCCTGCGGTTTTTCATATAGTCCTTTCTGCGGTATCTATATAGTTCCGCCGGGTATAACATTTTATAAAAATTGTCTGAATAAAGTGGTGGTCGAACCGAAGTTACTCTTGTCGAGGGTTCACTTACGAACCGACGAGAATTAAATAGACACTTTACAAAGGGGTCGTGGGACGTTCGAGTAAAAATATGCTTAGCCAAACGAGACGAGGACCCGCGCCATTTCGACCACGTACCACGGGACAATGAAACTCGATGGAATTTACAGCGAAATGAGAGTTTTCTTTCGCAGAGACGATGTGACCGCGTCGCTCGAAAGAAGTACGAGCAAGGGTCAAAGAGTGCTTACGGTTCTCGCCTACCAGTCCGTGGAATAGAAACTTTTATTCCGTGCTGCGAAATGGAACGTAGCGTCGCGCCATTGTTACTCCGCTGTATCTCTTTCTGTTCGTTCGTACGGGACCTTCTATTTCTGATTCTTCTTCTTCGACACCGAACTTTCGACACTCTTTCGCCCTTTTCTTGTTCGCTGAATCTTCCAGGAATCTCTTCTGCTCTCTTTCTTACCTCTTCGATACCGCCTTTCTCCACGTTCACCTTTCTTCCTTTTGCCGTTCCCATTTCGATCTCTTCTACTAGCCTCTTCTGTTCTCTCTTTGGTCTTTGATCTTTGCTTTCCTTCCATTTTCGCGTTAACCAGAGAAACTTTGCTAAGATTCATCCCTCGTTACTCGCAGTTGGACGAGTCACTCTTTTGCGCAAATTGATTTTAAAGCGAGAACTTCCGAATTGGAGTGGTACGGGGGATGTTCTTCCTGAAAAGGTATCTTTTCACGTGGGCTCTTTCGCTATCGTTGATCAGTAAACAAACTATTCTCTGACTACGCGATACTGTGATTATCTAGCCTCTAATTTGAGCATGGTCTTCGACTCTAAAGGAAAGAGAAGATAAGCTTTAAGAGATCAGACGTCTTTAGTATTCAACAGAACTCCAAAATTTTAAGATCTTAGGAATATTGTTTCCTGTTTTTGTTCGTGGCTAAAAAAATTAAACTTCAGGAACGCGATTTAATTGGTGTTAATGGAGCGGTGCAGGGTATAAAGGTAAAATCTTTTCATAAAAGGCTTCTTAAGCTCCTTTTTAGCGGGTTAGATGCGGTAGTCAACGATGACAGAAAAAGTAACGAAAGGGAGAGCCGTCGAGGAAGAAAAAATGGGGAGAAAAACCGTGTACAGGGATTTGCCGGAAAAATTCGACGCTTGTCAGCTTTTCAATCGGTCACGTTGCTCGGCACCGTGTTACAACGTCAAAATATTGTTTCGGACAAGTCGCTTTGTTGAAACATCGGTGGCGTGCCGCGACTCTGAAAATAATGCATCGTTCGGTGCGCCGTAACTCGTGTTCCCTTTTGTTTCGGAAGCGTTTAACACACCGCGAGCTGCGAACCATTGCTCGTAAATAATCCGTCGCCGAGTTTACTGGATTTTGCTAAAAACTTCTAAAAATTTGACGAAAACGCTGAATAATGGGAAAGTTCTGAACGCGTAACAGAAGAAACGACATTCGCGATCGAACTTTCGTTCCCCTGTTCCATTTTGAGTTCCTTTATACACCGGACACGTACGCTCTTAGGCTAAAAGGAGACTGAAAGAAGTTTGCTGTCGTTTGCTTTCGATTTTCCAATGTAACGAAAGTTACGCGTAACGCGTGCACGTAGAGTGTACCTTTTACCTTTGATTAAAACCATGATCGTGAAAAGACATTGCTGTAACGGTGTACCACGATCGAGATTCCACGAGTTTCGCGTTAAACAGTCGAGAGGTTAAATTTGTAGAGCTTCTCGAAGTTCAGATTGTCAATTTCTTCGTCGATAAATCATTTAGCGTGTTAGGAGAACGTTGAGGAGTGCGACCTACCCCACGCGTCGCTCTCCTGGAGGTTTCTAACAAGTAAGAAGTCCAAACTTGTAAGATGCAGTGGCAACGGTGGACGGGTATTCGTGAGGCATAGCGGAACGGCGAAATTGAATTTTCTTTGTCCGTGTCGTGTTGCGTCCCGACGAGACCGAACTCGACTTTGTCAGAAAAAGTGTGGGTCGCACGAAATAACCATCTTTCGAAACGGAATAGCATGCTGAAATCTATAATATATTATATGTATAATAATGCATATTTCATCTGTGAAAAGAGGAACTGATTCGGGGAAACAAATTATGGTCGGTGAAGAGCCTAAAAGGCTATCCTTTTGACTTGCGATAACCAAATATCGGTTGCAAACGTCTTGAAGAAGTTACAGACGAAAAATATGACGCGCCATAAATTTAACCGTGGAAGATTCGAACGAATCTCGTAGATATTCTAAACTTGCACCAAATGCTGATTTATTATAAAAGTTGAAAAAGCAGGAAGATAAGCGAGTAGCCTCGATTCGCGAGAACTAGGGACGCTCGATCGATTAATAGGGAACTCTCTTTCAACTTTTGTCCGTTGAACAAGAGCTTGCAGCTTTGACGATGATTAAAGAGCTGCGAGCCATTAGTAGACACGGTAATGACGAGTACAAAAAAAAATTCTGTATAATTCTATCACGGACGGTCGGGTTTCCATCTTCGAAAGCCTCATTTCCGTGCATTTGCCGCGATCACAAGGCACGCGAACGACGGTTCGCGTAGACAAAACGGTAACGCGAAACCTACAGCGTTCGCGCCACGTCCGATCTCTATTGGCAGTGTGTCGTGCAACCCCGTGACACACGCTACGCTCTGCGAGTCGAAATTGCGCGCGTGTGAACGTGTCTACCGCTTTTTTTTTTTTGTTTCCCTTCCTTTTTTTTCCCCGGGAATACAGAGCTTCGAGTTCTGCGCGACCAGCGTCCACGAGCTTTTTCCCGTACCGATTGGAGTGTCGAAGTTCGACGGAAAAACGGTGTCCGCGTAATTGGTAGGGAGTCGACCGTATGGGCATTGATGAAATACCAAACAAAAGAACGAAAAACGGAACGTCTCAAAAAACATGCACAGGAAATATGCACTGAAAAATATGAAAACTAGATTTTCGTAAAAGGGTACAAGATTAATCGGATTAGGTGTTCGATGCATGTCGGATCTCTCTCTCTGTGGTTTCCTTCAGGTTTCCCCACAACGAGGGTTGCCAGAAACGGAGGCGTAAATATATAGCTCGTGCTCGTTTGTTCTTGTCGTCGTTTCGGAGTAGCCGATTTCAAGATCATTTATCGTTCGATAAAACGTAAGAAGTAAGCTTATCAGCGGTCCTGCCCGTTAGCCGTGGACGAAATAAGATCGGCGGTGGAAAGCGAGTCGCGACGATATCGCAAGAAAAGCATCAACAGGTAGCAACAAGGACGGTGACTAGACGGTTGGCCATCTTAATTAGAGTTTTTCGAAAGAGTGGTCCGTGGACAGGAAAGGTAGAAGCGATAGAAAATCAGAGGGAAGGATAGGAAAGGAGCGAAGCTACGTAAGGGCGCGGCGGTGGCAAGCGGGTGGCGGTGGAGCCGCAGCGGCCACAGCACGCGCACACATGTTCGCCAGATGGCAGAGGGTGGGAGGATACCGCGACGCGGAGCGGAGCGGACCGGCGACTCGCCGCACTCGGCGTAGCAGCGCGCATCGCGAAAGACGGTGGAAGCCGAAACTCTGTCGAAACGGTACGGTTCAGTCACAGTTTCGAAGCGGCGCCGAGCGAGTGACGGTTCACTCGGTCGCCTCTCCGTCCGCCTCTTCTTTACCTTCTCCTTCTTCCTCCTCTTTTTCTTGTTTTCGCGTCTTCTCGCGCCTTTCGTCTATAATTAAACCGTGGAAAGAAACGTTTCCTTTCGTCCGCCTTGTTCTCGCCGCGAGCAAAATGAAGCGGCGCACCGAATTCTTCTTCTCGAGTCGACGAACCAGTCAGTACGAGATTCTATAATTAACGGGACACTCGTGGCCACGCTTCGACCAGCCGAAACGACCCCGTTGCTCCTCGGGGAACATGCCTCCCGAGGATCTCGCGTACACCGCGGCGTGAACTCGTCCCGATCGGAAGCGGATAAACGGAGGATCGACACTGGAACAAGGATGGGTCGTTGATCGCGCCGACGGCGAACCTTGACCGTGAGTCGGTCCGTTCCGACACGCGAAGACCGACCCATTAACCGGCTCTATTTTCGTCTTGGCCTACGTCGCGCACAGTGCAACAGTGAATCGGCCGGAAAAGGTTTTCCTCCCGTAACGACTCGTGCGACGAAGCTGTAACGAGACTAGCCTGGTTCCATCGCGGTGCTCGACCCAATTACCCTCGAATTTTGTGTTCGCGCAAAGAGAGCCTGGCTTCGTGCTCCGCTGGAATCGAAGAGGAAGAACGAGTATATAAAAGTGGGTACCCTCTTGTACGAGTGCATTCGCGTTCGAGGATCGGCTGTGTTCGAGCGTTCGTTCGTCATGATCGAGTAGCAGCGAGATAAGAGGGAGAGAGATCGCGGAGGAACGCTTTTAAACCGATGAGATGACAGTGCTGTGCGTGCTGTGGGCGACTCTGTCCACCGTGGCATCGATCCTCGCCTGTTCCGGATTTTACCTGCCTTATTGGATTCAGGTGAGCGATTCGTGTTCCCTTTGATCGACGCGAAAACCGATCTAGCGCCGCCACGCCACTTCGTAGATCAACGAACACGGCCGCGTTCTAATTGCGGATCGTGGTTTATAGTTCAGCTCTCAGACTACAAGCTCCTTCCACCGTGCTTCTCTAACGAATCGAGTACGCTCGGTGTTGATCCTTAGTCATCGAAGACTGAAACGTTAATATTTTCACGTTCACCGCTCTTTCGAACCATTCTTTTGTGGTTGGTTCTCTTTGTGATTGGGTTAAAGGAAGATCTCGACTAATCACGTTTAGTGCAAAGAAAACGAATCGAACTTTTTCTTGTTTTCGCGTCTTCTCGCGCCTTTCGTCTATAATTAAACCGTGGAAAGAAACGTTTCCTTTCGTCCGCCTTGTTCTCGCCGCGAGCAAAATGAAGCGGCGCACCGAATTCTTCTTCTCGAGTCGACGAACCAGTCAGTACGAGATTCTATAATTAACGGGACACTCGTGGCCACGCTTCGACCAGCCGAAACGACCCCGTTGCTCCTCGGGGAACATGCCTCCCGAGGATCTCGCGTACACCGCGGCGTGAACTCGTCCCGATCGGAAGCGGATAAACGGAGGATCGACACTGGAACAAGGATGGGTCGTTGATCGCGCCGACGGCGAACCTTGACCGTGAGTCGGTCCGTTCCGACACGCGAAGACCGACCCATTAACCGGCTCTATTTTCGTCTTGGCCTACGTCGCGCACAGTGCAACAGTGAATCGGCCGGAAAAGGTTTTCCTCCCGTAACGACTCGTGCGACGAAGCTGTAACGAGACTAGCCTGGTTCCATCGCGGTGCTCGACCCAATTACCCTCGAATTTTGTGTTCGCGCAAAGAGAGCCTGGCTTCGTGCTCCGCTGGAATCGAAGAGGAAGAACGAGTATATAAAAGTGGGTACCCTCTTGTACGAGTGCATTCGCGTTCGAGGATCGGCTGTGTTCGAGCGTTCGTTCGTCATGATCGAGTAGCAGCGAGATAAGAGGGAGAGAGATCGCGGAGGAACGCTTTTAAACCGATGAGATGACAGTGCTGTGCGTGCTGTGGGCGACTCTGTCCACCGTGGCATCGATCCTCGCCTGTTCCGGATTTTACCTGCCTTATTGGATTCAGGTGAGCGATTCGTGTTCCCTTTGATCGACGCGAAAACCGATCTAGCGCCGCCACGCCACTTCGTAGATCAACGAACACGGCCGCGTTCTAATTGCGGATCGTGGTTTATAGTTCAGCTCTCAGACTACAAGCTCCTTCCACCGTGCTTCTCTAACGAATCGAGTACGCTCGGTGTTGATCCTTAGTCATCGAAGACTGAAACGTTAATATTTTCACGTTCACCGCTCTTTCGAACCATTCTTTTGTGGTTGGTTCTCTTTGTGATTGGGTTAAAGGAAGATCTCGACTAATCACGTTTAGTGCAAAGAAAACGAATCGAATAAAGGTTCGATACGTCGTTCGTTTATAGCTATATACAACACTGTTTTCTGTTTGTTCTGATTTTGCGACGAAAACCCTGGAACACTCCGTGTAACCTTTGATCATACATCGAATGAATCATCTCGATATGACATCTCTCTTTTGGTATTTCATCTTTTTGGCAAAAAAGTTTCGACATAGTTGCAATTCGCTGATGGACCAAACTCGCGTCAACATCTCGCACGTACTAACTCGCAATCAGTCTGTTCGAAACGTCGCGCCAGCGAAAACGAAACGCCTACGGCGCGACAATGTTTCCTGTCGCGATGACGAATCAATCGTTCTCTGAAAATCGCTTTTGCAATCAGACGAGATCGGTGGCGGCGTTTCGTCGCGTCGTAATACCGCTACGAATTACCGCACTGTTCGTAAAACGAAATCGTTCCTCTTTGCTCGTTGTCCGCCACGGGTTTAAAAGTCTTACCACCAGCAAGATATTCGCTTCGCGTTCGAACGTTAAACGCCAGATGCGCTCGTTAATTAACGAGACGAGTCTGAGAGGAAACGCAGTCACGGCTAAAAGCGAATGAAACCAGAGGGGAGCAATAGCGAGAGCTGGTCCCGATAAAATCAAATTTCCAATATCAATCGTACCATGCACTGTCGGTCGAATTTCGCTGGCAATGCGTTCTGTAATTTAAACACCGGTCATTTGGTCGGATTAATAAACAGAATCGGGTAAATTGCTCATCGAACCGTAGCGTGAAACGAACTGCGTCTCGATTACGAGTTATACAACTGGGTCATTGAACGGAGAATTTTATAATTAATAGTTTTCGATATCGCGATCTTCTTAATAACGTTTGCAGGTATATATCATAAATTACTGCATATTATGCTTGATAACAACCCCGGGAGTTAGATAACGTTCGGTGGTTAAATATTTTGTATAAGCTAAGCGTAGTACGTGGCAACTGGCGAATATCACGGTCTTCCCTACATCGATGTTTTCTTTAGTCTACTCGCTCAGGAAAATCGTTGGATCAAAGTAAATTAGGAATATCGTTAAAATGACCGACAGCTATCGAGGTCGACGAGTGGCCGCGTTCTCGCCCTTGCCTTTCGAGAGAAACGAGAGGATGAGCGTTTCGAGAAATAGAAAGGACTGCTATTTAAAGCACCTGCTCATAGAGAGGGTGCGTTGCAACGAGAGGTTAAAAAGACGTCGATGGTTTCCGATGTTCTTTGATAGCATCGAGCTTTCATCGAGCCGTTAGTTTCGCTCCATTGTCGTAAAACCGTACGACGTCGTTTTTGTTCGCGAACGAACGCGTTTAGAGGGGAGAAGCGGAGAAGAAAAGGAAAGAAGGGTTGACTCGTCGAAGGAGGTTAACAGGGCGAGTTTGCGTGGCGCGATGTTTGGCGAGACTCGGCGATCACGCGGAAAGGAAAACTTTTGGAAGGACGAGGATCGTTGTTCGGCGCGAGCGGTAAATCGACGCGAGGAGCTTCGACAATTCCGAAGCGTTTCTGGGCCGCGTCGCGAAACCGACAAGGACCGGCTCGAAAGCGTCGAAGCAACTTGGAAACTCTATCGCGAAAACGGCAACCTATATTAATGTCTCCGGGGATCCGGAAACGTTGCTCCGAGTAACATAGATCCAAAGAAACGTTAATAGGTTTCGAAGTTCTCCGCTCCGTTTCGAACTGCGAAAGACGAGCGCGCGCGCTTTCATCGCGACCCTGTCAGCTCGCCTATTCGCGAGTTAGCGTCTGCAGCCCGTCCGCTCGTTCGATTGCCTCCATGCTAATAAAATTTTATCGACTTTCGGAGATACGTTTTTATACCGTCGGGTTATCGACGTTCCAATGAAAATATTTTCGATTCGCTTGTCCAACAAATTCTGCTAAACACGCGATTTCTCGACGCGAATCACCGACACGTTCTCGTAAAATCCGAACAACTACGGTGTCGGGTGATTGATGCTTCGTTGTCGCGTCATTATTCTATGGTATATTTATCTGCACGGTGAACTTTACACGATTACGTCGTCGTTACATAGCAACGAAGTTTCCGCTTTCCGACTTCCAGTCCACCGAACAACGGGACGGAACTCGGGAGCACGGAGTCCAAGACATTCTTCGCTAATTCTCTCCATTAGCTGCTGATTTTCTCTAGGTAATCGAGTGCGATCCCATTACGCGACCGCCTGTATATTTCAACGAACTAACGCGATTCCGAGGAAAAACATGGACTCGAGGAAACTGTTTGGCACGCGATCGTCTCCGAAAGTGGAAACTTTTATCTTCGTTGTATCTGTAAAAGTCGTCTCGAAAAACATACTTTGAAAGATGCAAAATCGGTAACTTTATCAGGAAAACTGGCGTGGCTGGAACAACCGTGCACCTTCTTTTATTCAAACGAATACGGTTTCCTCGCTTTACCTCGTTTCCTATTCAAAAATTCTTGAATCGGGAGATATTTCCTGATTCGGGTCTGTCGGTGATCCGCGCTAGGCCAATAGCCGTAGAAACGGGTATTGCCGAGTCGCGTGCCAAAGCGCGACATTAGCATGCTAATGAGCTCTGAAATTGGCAGATTATAAATTTTGCATAAAGCTGTTTATACGCTTTAGTCGCGGTGGAGCGCGTTTTCGGCCGGCCTCGTTACGACGCTGCGTTTAACGAACCATTCGCAACGGGTCAAACGAGAAACGACATTCAACAAGTGCACGCGAAAATGTTTCGCGGATCGCGCGAGTGATCGACGAACCTTTAATGACGAATTCCTATTTTCATAGGAACCGTTCGATTCATAAAGCGAAATGAAATGTAAACGCGTTTCCTGTTAAACGTTCAGCTCACGGTACCTGTCGGCCGATAACGCAGATATTTACACGGTATAATCGGTTAACTCGATGCGCGGAATATCCTGTTAACGGAGTAACGAAGCTGCGAGAGATCCCGGCTGTTGGACGAGTATCTGCGATTCGAAACAATAGGAAATAACTAGCTTGTCTGGCAAACTTGTGGACAGCGACGCGATTCATGGAAGCTGGCAGATAAGGGTGCACGGTTCACGCTCGCGGTTCAATAACCTATTTTGCAAATTTTCGAACCATTCGATAAAACGTAGCTTTCCGAACTTTTGTCGTTCGCGGTGCAAAAGTGTTTGACATCACCCTGGACTTAACTCTTTGTTTATTCGCGTACTTTTACAGCTTTTCGACGCATAGAATAGCGTCTGTGATTTAAAGCGTACAGTTTATAAAGCGGTTGGTTATTGCGCTAATCAATGAGTCAACAACCATGATTTACTCATTAGCTCAGATCAACGAAACATAATAATCGGAACATATATTGATCCAGCGGTAATCGTGTTCGGTGAACCCTAAACTTGGAATTCGTATAAGCGATATTTCGTCGTTTAATTACCCAACACTTATTTTAACGATCGCTATTGATAATGTTCTGGAGCAATTTCCATCTTCAGAAGCGCGGCGCGACGGCGCAGTTTCATTACGAAACCCAGAAGCTTCTTCGAGGGACAGAAAGAATAAATGGTCGATTATCGAGGGTCGGAGATAAATACCGTTTTAATTCCCGCCTCGTTATTCGCTTGGCGATCCTTTAGTACACGCCCCGGACCGAAAGTTTTGACCCAGTGGCTGGAAAGTTTGCTCGTTCTTCTTTAAGCATTAGAACGCAAGAAAAATCAATTTACGACTTCTCTTTCAGTTTCGAGCGTTCTCGAGGGATTCGAAAAGTCACCGTGAAACTGGGAACTTTAAATTGCTCGTCGGTTCGTTCGGCAGAGAGCGGAATCAAACGCGTTTACCTGCGCTGGCGAGCTCGTTAATCCGACGCAGGTAACGGACGCGAAAACAGTCGATGAATAATTTGGACGCCTAGCGTCCCGTGCACGAGAGTATCCGTCCCTTCGAAACGTATATCCTTCTCGAGCAGTCGAGCATGGAGCAAGGCCTTTAAATGGCTTTGAAAATACTCGAGTAGAAGGGATGAATAAATGCATAAGCGAATTTACATTTGCCATCCTACGTCGTCGCTTCTTCGCCGGTGTCCTACTGTGCGTGCGGCTTAACTCGCTAGTCCGGGAAAGCCAGTTGCGTTCGTTTAAGGAGAAATTTCGTCGGATGAACGCTTTTAACGCGTTCCCTTACTCCACTTTCTACACCGAAAACGAACACTTTGGCGCCTTCGTCGCTACGAGTCGATTTAAATTATTATTATTGTCCATTGTGTTAAGCGTTCCTTCGTTCGTGACTCGTTGGCGAGCCAGGGTAAACTTTCTTGGCGATTACAATTTTTTACTTTTTCTATAGTTCATGAGGAATTTGAAACCGGAACGCAGGCTTGAAAAATTCAGACGAATATTATGACAGACAAGGTACTGAGTTTCAGAAATTTAATTTTAAACTTCTATCTACCGAGCAAAGTTCGTAAAGTTCTCCCTTCGACAACAAGCTTCTACAGAATGTTTGCAGAAGCGTGATAAGCAAATGAAAATAATTTACGATATTTAGTTGTAAAGTTGCGTGATAATTAGTCAAGACGTTTACGTAGCGACGTTTACCTAGTTACGAGAAGAGTGATTTTGCGACGATAAGCAAGTTTAATCGCCGAAGCTGCTTGACAAAGGCATGTTTCGGACAGCGCAGAGTTATCGTACGGAAGTTGCGTATTTTGGAAGTTGCGCGAGATCTTGCGACAGAGTACCTGTCTGGGTTTCGCGTTCAAGTGTTCTGGTGGCAAGTACCGAGAGTACCGCTATCATTTTATAGCATCTGTGCTAAAGGACTTCATCAGCGAGGCGTTTGATAGACCTTTGATATGGGAGTGTTTAGAGTTGGATTAGAGCGTGTGTACGCGTGAATAGATAGGTAAGTTAAGGAAGCGGATGCAGATTGCTTCGCCGTTAGCGAATGTGGAGACTGTCGTAGTAATTGCGCGGAGTAAGTTCGAGATGAAATCGTCGAGATAGAAGACGACTCGAACGATTGTTCGAAAGGCGCTGATTAGGTTAATTGGCAGCGAACGACGGAAAATAGAGTGGCATCGCGGGGTAAATTGGTTTTATTCGGCGAACGATCGAATCGGCGGCAGTTCCGAAGAAGAACAATTCGGCCGGAAATTCTGTCGGACTTTGGAGCGTTTATCCCAGTGGGAAGCGGGGGCGCGCTTTTAGCAGGCTCGCGTGCAAGAAAGGCGTCTCGCGCGAGCGTCGCGCAACGACCATGGCTGCAAAACTTAATCTCTCGAGGAAGAAACTGCTTGGCACGGGGTCAACGGTTTTCTTCGTGGATCGAGTTCAAACGCAAAACCGTCTCGAATCCGGCGTACGAAGAGTAACGATCCATCTGCTTCTGTTCTTTCGAACCGAGTACCATTAACCCGGACCAAAATCCTCTCGAAAATCAGCGCGCAAAAGCAACCTATTCGCGACGAGATTCCTCCTTGAAATTTCACCGAAACTCGTCGCTTTGCGCTCGATCGCGAACTTTAGCAAGGTAGAGAGACAGGGCTCTCGCGTCGCAATTCATTCGATCGAATCATTAATACAGCGCGGAAAAAACTCTTCTTTTGTCTCTCGTTTTGAACGCGCGCGTGTTTTGAATTTCAGGGACGACTTTTGGGAAAAGCGGACGCGTACTTTAGTTCCTTTCGACGTTGCAACTATCCACGGATAAGGGCGCCGAACGCCGCTCCCGAAATAGTGTACGAGTGCGCCAGGTATTCCAGGTACGTACATCGCATTTTTCCTCTTCTTAGAATCGTGAACGTTCGATCGCGTTATTTTCGTCGAGCTATTCGGTACATTATTTGTCCATTAACTTCCCTGTCAAAGTATAAACTACTCGCCGCTTTTGAAGGCGCACGATACAAACACGGGAGCGTTTGATATTACATACTTCAATTTAGGCGCTTTGATGACAGGGAATGTGCTAGTTGAAAATTTGTAATTGCCTTTAGGGGAGAATGGTGGGTTCTCATTCGCGAATAAGTAACTTTTTAACAGATCAACGAAACGCATCGAGGTTCGCGGAGAAACTCGTACGGATTATTCGAAGCCAGTCTGGCGGAAAAGTTCAATTTCTCGGCACCTCTCTTCGATATTGCTTCCGTTCGCAAACGCGATCGACGATCGCCGAGTTAATTTCGTTCGCCGGGAAGGCAAAGTTCCGTAGATTTTTTAACCGCGAAATAAGAATAATTCTCGATAAGAAATGACCGTAATAACCTTGACAAAGTTTCCGCGGCCCCTTACGCGTTTTTCCGCGAACTCGTAAAATATTAGCGAACTTTTGCCGAAGAATTTTAATTACGTATATTTCTTCCGTGCGATGAAACAGCCCCGTTCTTCTTGATTCGTTTCCATCGTAACAGCCCGACGGCGAAACGAGGAAATTTCAAATATAATTTCCGAGTAAATAAAGGCGCGCGCGTAAAAACGTTGTTTCCGCTGTTTCGACTCGGTATCAGGAAAATTTGTTTCGAACATTCGCCGATATCGCGTCGATATCGTTTGCTGATACAGGTTTTTTCGAACCCGAAACAGTCATGTTCGCGAAACAAATCGCGAGACTTAGATTGATCGCGCGGTCGTAAAATGTTTGCTGCAATTTTTTCGACGCTTGATCCGGTCAGATATTACGTAATGATTACCGAATTGACGTACAGCATTCGGTTACATAACGCGGGGCTCTACAGCATTTGGTTACACCGTGCGAGACAGCGTTCACCACGAATCTAACCACCGCGCTGTATGAAAGCGAGCCGTGTTACGTATTTCAATTATGGATCAAAGATACGAAACGCGCGAGCACACCGATTCGGTTTAGTTTGTTATCAACGCATGTACGTTTGATCAAAGCAGGGAAATTGAATGGAAATCACGCGATGAAATTACGGACGTTTCTTCGAATCGATATTTTGGCGCAATCATGTTTACCGAAAAGCAAAAAGCGGAGCGAAAATTAAAACTGCAGGGGAGTGATTCGCGGATATCGAACGTGAAATCGTAGTCGAGCGAAACGCAGGAATCGCGCGATTTGCTCGAAAATCACGGTAAAGGTTCGTTAATTCTGACACGTTTTTTTCGCACGGTGTTTACATTTCATCGGAAAAGCCGAGTGTGCCAAGCGTTGCTCGAAACCGTTCGCCGCGATACGACATTAAATTCGCCATAGATTCTTTTCTCTCGACTACGTACTACGAACTCTCGAATATTAATCAGATCTTCGTTTATTTCGATCATCGGATGAACGTTTGTTTTAATAATCTATCGCGGCACCTGCTACAAAATGTCCGAAAAGGTATTTCAAGCGGTAGATGCGAATATGGATTAATTCGTAGTATCAATTTCGTTTAAACAGGCATCGATCGAGTGACATTGTCCACGGGACAAGCGACGCGTACCGGAATTCGATTCGCAAATCCCTCGCAGAAGCTATTCGACCAGTCAATTACCGCGAATACAGCGACGCGAAATAATTGAAAGTCTTTTAGCATCGATCTTCGATTCCGTAGTCATATTCGATCGGGCGACCACGATTACAGAGCGATAAATAAACTCGGCTTGAGCGGCACCAGCGACCGGCTACAAAATTTAGTTTAACTTTCAATCAAAGTTACGGTTCAGCCCGGAAAGAGTTAATTTACGAGTTGAAATTGAATTTCCATGAAATTTTGTCTACAATATAGTTTAACGAACACACTCGGCGGTCGATGCTGTAACTGCGAAAATATTTGATTGCAGCTTTTGGGACATACCGAGTGGCTGGTGGCAGGCGAGCACCGTCACCATGGGAATCGGCGTCGCGATCGCCGTGATCGGGGCTTTAACTTTGCTCGCGGCTGCGTCGAGCTTTCTGCCACACATACTCAAAACACCCAAACACACGAGAGTTTTGGGTGCCTTGCAACTGCTCGCTGGTGAGTATCGCCCTTATCAGCTTTTCTTACCTAATCCTCGGAGCTTAGAGGCAGGGATTAGACGAGGCGAGATGAAAAGAAGAGGAGAGAACAAAATAACGCTCGGATAACGAGAGTGAAAAATGACGACGAGTATCGATTGGCTGTGCCGAAAGTCGGAGAAGTAGGACGCTTCGCGTGATGCTACCCTTTCGAGTATTCGTAATGACATCCGCTCCAAATGACGGACATTATTATAAAATCAATGAACGGTTCGACTAATTAATTTAATCTCGTGCAACGGCGAATCGCGTTAGTGATTTAGACCTTGTTACGGATTAACGAAACTCTCCGTGTTCGCTGCAATTTCCTAGGCAATTCGAGATTTATTCTCTTCCCTGGAGCATCATCGTGTTTCCTCTCTATTTCTCTCTCGTTTCTCTTTGCTGTTCAACGAAGTATCGAGCGGTGTATCGTTCGAGGTCGAGGCTCGTTGCACCGGCCGATTACGTTCCGCGCGTTTGAACGGCAAATAAAGCGCGAGCGGGTCAGCCGTTTTCGCAAAAGAATAAAAAGCTCGAAAGTATGCACGGTGAATCGCTTTCAACGCTCGTCGTTCCATCGTAAGATGCGACTGCTCGTAATAGAGCTCGAACATCGATTGCCGTCGCTGGAAATTTCATCGAATAATCCAAGATAAAAGAACGAAACGCTGATTTACGTATTTAAAGTAATATCGTGTCCGAATCGTCGGAACTAAATAAACCTTTGCTTCATCGATTGAGCGCGGGACGAGATGCTTTAATAACGTACGAGTAGAGACTTTAACCCTCTTTGGGTCATTTACCTTGTTTCCCGTGGATTGGCGAACGGTTGCAGGCAATAACCGCGATCCTGGTGCGTCGAACAATCGAGCCAAGAGGATTGGCAACCGGGAACTAATAATAATTTCAGCATAGGAATATACTCGTAAGATATACATGAACCCTGAGATAAAAGGGCAGGCAAATTTAGATATTAGATCGATAGAAGATATTTTCTTGTCAAAGAAATTCTAAGTGCAAAGTACTCGGGGCTTATTAAGTACTTTGGTAATACTCTACCGATATACGGCAGGTGATGGATCGATTAATTTCTTGTCAGACTCGAGAAGAAAGTTACGGTTACGATAAGATTCGTAATCGATGTTGCCTGGTTAATAGGCTGCGGCCGTTATACTCGCGGTAAACTTTACACCTTTGGTGTCTCGTCGTCGATTCGACGACAATGAGCCGAGCAGCGGGCTCTGTGGCAAGTTTCGCGATAACTTTGGCGGTGAGTTTCAGTTTAGCTCGCATAATAGACGATACAATAGATTTCCTGACTAGGTTCTATCTACGATAGATCTATCGTCGTAGAACATCGGTTGCCAAATCGAATCACGAATTCGCTACGAGTTTCGCGTCTACTTCCTGTACTCGAACATTTCGTCTTACTATATCGCGAAGTATAAAACGTCGAAGAAAATAATTTTGAAGGATAGCTGTCCGTTATTACGTATTGAATGTATTCGAATAAGTAAAAAACGATTTTCCTAAAAAGGATTGACGATAATTATTTTAAAAGTGGTATTTGAAGGAGCGGTATAACGCGGCTGGGTCGAGTTTCAAACTTTTCCTACTTTCAGAACGATTCAGGGTTTAATCCCACAGTGTTATTTCAGCGTGGAGCTTAGTATCGTTCGAAAGCACGATAAAATTTAACCGTTTGCAAAGTTTCTCGAAAAGCGATACGGCTCGGATCGATCGAGAGCTAGGAAACGAGCGGACCAACGGGAAACGTTAATAGGAACGTCTGGTTGTTTGCGAAGCAATGGGAAGACACGAGGTTTCACGAGGACGGCTAGAGAACCGACTGTCCACAAAGAAAACGGATATTACTCGAATATCATTCTTCTTTCAAACGTTGACGTGTTCCATTTTCTCGTTCGCGTCGCTTTTCTACTCCCGACTCGTTGTGTTTAAAATAGCTTTCCACCAGCTGTCACTGTACATTCGTTATTATCGTATTAGCAAACCGGCACAAAGGATTTATCATTTTCTTATTTCCGATTAATCTCGGCCATTTTGTAGAAGACTAGTTGAAAACGTGCTGCCAAGAAGAAAACGTGTGGAACGTAGTCCTCGATAATAACGCGGCCGAAGAAAATGAAAAAGGAAGGTGGCTTTGCAACGATGGCTCCCGTTGTTCGTCGAAGCGACGATAACGCGAAGCACAACGAAGGCAAAACAACCCGATGAACGTAATCGGTGACGGTTGATGCTCCCGGTTATCCGAGCTAACGCGTCGACCGTGCACGGAATGCCTGGTATTCCGATGGACCGTTTGTTCGACGATTAACCCTTCTGGTACTGGTTGGAGGAAAATCAGGTGTTCGTGTACCGCGTTACAAACTTTTCTTTCGGATATTTAATATTTAAATAACATTTAAATTCGCGAGATCGTAAATCGCGTTTTATCGCATTATGCCATTGTTTCCGAACGGTAATCGTATTCGAACGATTACCTTAAATTAATCAATGTCGAAAGAGGAAGAGTTCGATCGCGGTACGCCGCGGATTTTGATCGGTCGAACACCGGACGATTCGTTAATCGAAACGAGGCTCGAATTATATCGGCTTGATTTTCCAGCGGGTGTCGGAAACGCGAGGAATTTCTGGTATTTCGTTGATCAAAAGCATCAAACTGTCCGCGGACGAAGAAAAAAATTGAAATTTACCATTAACCCTGTACCGCCATTTTCTCGTTACAGCAGTGATGATATGCGGCGGTCTGGTGATGTATCCCATAGGATGGGACAACCGGGAGGTACGGGAGTCCTGTGGGAAGGGTGCTAATGTATACAATCTCGGTGAGTATAGCTGCGAGCGCCGATTTAACGACTCCGGCGCTCTCCGAGAATTCTTACGATAGACGAGGAACGATTCTCCGTTTCACGGTACTTTTCATTTCTTTCGGCTGAATATCGCGAGGCATTCTATCGTCTAAGGCAATCTTTATAAAGTAAACATTGAAACTAAACGGTGAATAAACGTCGACGGTTTACTTTGAGGATGGAAATTTTTATTCGATCTTATTATTTCGGGAAAGTAGGCGTTTCAGAATTATTACTTTTGCGTGTATAGAGGGAAACGAGAGATCACTGGTACACAGTCTCACATGGCACACAATCTCTCACAAGACAGAAAGTTCGTTTCGGTTAGACACGCGAGTAGAGAACCTCGCTAGACATCAATTCTGAATGTTATAATAATAATTTTCGAACGGGATATAATTTTTCCGCGATGACGGCGAGTCACTTAACAGCGGACTCGCACGCGAGGGATTTTCAGCGAACGCGACGACGGTGTAACCGCGTAGCGACAGTTACACCGTAGATAACCGGAAGCGAAGCCGTGGAGAAGGGACGTGTCAAGGCGTTGACAGACGTATCTCGCATCTGTTTCAGGAAAGTGTTCCGTGTCGTGGTCAAGCCACCTGCTGGTAGGCTCGGTGGCGCTGTTAATGTTGTGCTTCGGATTGAGCTTCTGCGCGGCACGACACAAGCCGTCCAACCCACACACCGACCCCCTGCGCATTTGACAATCGAGATATTCCCAATCGATTCATGCCTACGCATCGCCGAAGACGACCAGCCTCTCCTTCGTGACGGACTGTTGATCGCCGTTCTCGTCACGAGCATCGAATCCACGAGCCTCGCCTCGCCTCGCCACCTACGCTCACGTGGGTATACACACGAAACACACGCGCACACACACACACACATGCGTACACCTGCCCGAGGGCGCGAGTGCGTGCAGCGTCACACCACCCTTCGTCTACTCGCAGACGAATCTTTAAGGTCAGTTCATATCTACGGACATTGACGATGTCGAACGAACGCGACGTTTTTATCGGCAATCGTGAATTTTAAACACCGTATAGGTAAATAATATGTATTTATTGTACAGACGCGATAAGTTAGCCGAGGAACGGACTCATCTTTTCGAACACGATCGTGTAGACAGATTTTTTATAAATTACCGAACGAGTTAAGGAATATTTGCCTCCGACGTGGTTAATGTCTGTACGCGTGAACGAACCTTTATGTTTAGAACGTAAGAATAATTCAACAGGGAATTTGTCGCGCTCCGTGACGAATTTCATGTGTTCCCGCAGCGTGACTATGTCGCTTCGAGACAGACTACATCCTTAGACGAGAGGTAAACGAAATATTAGGGTAATTGGTTCGTTAACCCTTTAGGTACCTGTGCGTTACGACGGTGGTTTCCTTTCGAGACACGTTTCGGATGGCTTTTTTATTTTTATACCTTTGTTACTCGATGTCTTACCGTTCCAACCGCGCTATCGATCGAAAGTCTCAGTTACTCGTAGCTAATGGGTTAAATCGCCGAATCGAAAACTTTCTTGTAACATGTAACTTAAGGAGGACGAAATTTCGATCGTTCCGCGAATAGAAACCGTCGCGGTCGAGTCTAGATCGTACCATAAAGTTAAATCGTTAGTTCGAATCCTGTTGTCTTCCAAACTCCCCGTCTGCTCTTCGACGATGTTTCGTCGTGATTGTTAGCGTAATTGTTAAAACGATAGATGTTATTCGTAGTGTTTCCAATTTACCTGCATTTTGTCGATACTGTACGTGTCCCTTTTTTAATAACTCCATCCTTTACCGAACGTACACGCGTTTCAGGAATACGAATTTCTGTGTTATAATAACGCTAACCTCGATTCGTCGGAGATACGTGTTCCCGTTTTCCGCGTGGGTATACACACGAAACACACGCGCACACACACACACACATGCGTACACCTGCCCGAGGGCGCGAGTGCGTGCAGCGTCACACCACCCTTCGTCTACTCGCAGACGAATCTTTAAGGTCAGTTCATATCTACGGACATTGACGATGTCGAACGAACGCGACGTTTTTATCGGCAATCGTGAATTTTAAACACCGTATAGGTAAATAATATGTATTTATTGTACAGACGCGATAAGTTAGCCGAGGAACGGACTCATCTTTTCGAACACGATCGTGTAGACAGATTTTTTATAAATTACCGAACGAGTTAAGGAATATTTGCCTCCGACGTGGTTAATGTCTGTACGCGTGAACGAACCTTTATGTTTAGAACGTAAGAATAATTCAACAGGGAATTTGTCGCGCTCCGTGACGAATTTCATGTGTTCCCGCAGCGTGACTATGTCGCTTCGAGACAGACTACATCCTTAGACGAGAGGTAAACGAAATATTAGGGTAATTGGTTCGTTAACCCTTTAGGTACCTGTGCGTTACGACGGTGGTTTCCTTTCGAGACACGTTTCGGATGGCTTTTTTATTTTTATACCTTTGTTACTCGATGTCTTACCGTTCCAACCGCGCTATCGATCGAAAGTCTCAGTTACTCGTAGCTAATGGGTTAAATCGCCGAATCGAAAACTTTCTTGTAACATGTAACTTAAGGAGGACGAAATTTCGATCGTTCCGCGAATAGAAACCGTCGCGGTCGAGTCTAGATCGTACCATAAAGTTAAATCGTTAGTTCGAATCCTGTTGTCTTCCAAACTCCCCGTCTGCTCTTCGACGATGTTTCGTCGTGATTGTTAGCGTAATTGTTAAAACGATAGATGTTATTCGTAGTGTTTCCAATTTACCTGCATTTTGTCGATACTGTACGTGTCCCTTTTTTAATAACTCCATCCTTTACCGAACGTACACGCGTTTCAGGAATACGAATTTCTGTGTTATAATAACGCTAACCTCGATTCGTCGGAGATACGTGTTCCCGTTTTCCGTGTGGTTTTACCTTTTCGAGGGCAGCGATGGTTCGCGGTTAGGAGGTTCGCGTTAACCACTCTTCGCGTGTTATAATCGCGTTCGATAACTCTAGCGTTCGAATTCTCATTACTTAGCGAGCTTTAAATGAAAAAGCTCCGCGGCTGAAATTCGTTGAATACTTTCGGAGGATTAGAGACTCTCGCGATCGATTCTTCCGTCCTTTTGTCTCTGCCGAGCATCATTCGAGCCACTTGTTCAAGATTTTGCTGGGACCGTTATTTCTCTCGACACTTTCGACCGTACTTCGTTTCGACGGTTGCTTCGCCACCGAAGGAACAATCGTACCCATCTTTTTCACGGTGTCTCTTTGTTTACGTCCGTGAAATGATCCTCCTGATCTGTCGCGAACAGTTGTTTCGAGAGGGAATGGATTTTTCAAGCTTCCGCGGCGTGGTTTCCCGTGTTTTTCATTCGCAAAATATAGCTTGTCACGAAGGTCATCGGTGATCGATGCCTCGATCAACAGCTACAGCGAAAGATAGTACGATTCCGTGTCCGCTATTCAAAGTTGAAAAGGAACGGTACGGTGGTTGACGTTTTCGAGCTAAAATTCGAACGAATTTTCTCGGTAAAAAAAACGTTGAAATTCAAGATCGAATTAGCGAAGTCTCTAGAGGCTCGTTAGTGTAAAAGCCTAAACAAAAGGCAGGTCCGACCATTGAAAAGCCGTTCGTGACCGATTCGCAGTTAAAATAATGAATCGCGACGCGTCATCGACCCGTTTTCTAATTCGTGCGGCAGTCTTCTCGACGACCGCTGCACGATCGTAATTAAAATTACAATGGCATCAAGGAAAAATTGGGAACGCGTCGGGCTTAATTTTCGAGCGAGAGTACGGAAAACCAGCATTCCGCGAAGGTACTCGCATTGTCCGCGGTAAATCCGCCTTGCTGAAATCAGCCAAAAGAGACTTCGCGCATCGCCGATTCCTCGCGAACGCATTCGGCTGATCCAATTTCTATGCGCGTTTCGAATCCACCGTATCTCGGCGTTGTTCGTTCGCAGGAAAATAAAAGTGGAATATATTTTTGAAAATCAGTATCGGAAAGCGAAGCCAACAACGGTTTTCAATTTGCGCGAGATTCTTTTTTCGCTTTCGTATACGACAGACCTTCGAATACGGCATTGCATGCGGTGTAGAATCGGAAAATTTTCGAGCCGATGCTCGGTTTTTTAACGGAAGTTGGGTGTTGTTTGAAAAAAATAATTTTAATTACCGTGGCGGTAGCGCATAGTTCATAAAACGGGGTACGTAATCTTGCGCTGTAAGCGTTCCGTGGAAAACGCGATGTAGTCAGCGATTCGATTGTGTACGCAACGAGTACATTTCGCTAGAAAGCTGTCGGAGCGAAATGGTTAATTTTTTATTTCGTTTTGCTCGCAATCTAAAGGTATTGTTCGAATTGACGACTTTCCAGCGCGACGAGCGTTGGTAACTCGCGAAAACTCGCGCGGTTTTTCACGTTTTTGACGAAACAACGAGGATAATTTTATAGAAAATGTCGCTTCGCAACCGTTTCCTCGTTAGGCGGTCACACGAGATAGAAACGCGTGCTGGGACGAGCCCCTAAATCGCGAAAAGGTAGACCACGAGCACAATTAGTCGACGCGTGGCGTTAACGAGGCCAAGAAAAGGAAAAGCGAGGGTAGGAGGCGAGCTAGAAAGGTAGCAAGAGTCGCTTTTATGTCGGTGGTTTCCGTCTCGCGTTGGTCCACTCGACTCGGTCGAAAATTCAGCTCGTGCAAAGTAACACAGAGGGAAACGAGAGTGGACAGTGGATGGGGCGAGAGCGAAAGAGAGGCGAAAAGAGAGGCGAAAAGAGAGCGAGGAGAATAGGGGCCGCGGCTTTTAGCGATTTCACGAGATTTTCAAAGGCGCCGTTGTTTTTGCCGCGGTTCAGAGAAATCGCGTAACGCGCTTCGTGTTTCCCACTCGCTTTTCTTTCCCCGACTTTTTCTTTTCTTCCCTCTACTTTGTTGACAATTTTTATCCCCCGATTTTGCGGTCACGATTCGATGACTCGATTCTTTTCGCGTCCGTTTGTCGCAAAATCGACGTCGCTTTTTGCGACCCTTGTTTCGTCATTTGTCCACCGGACTCTTGTTTAGTGGACCGGAAATTCGTACAGCGATCGTGGATCCGTTTCTTTCCCGAGAAACGACACGCGTGTGACGGTGTTCGTCCTGAAAATTCTTACGCTCGACTTCCCGTTTCTAACTTTCGCGTCCCACCATTCAGGGTCTTCTTTTCACGTTCGTAGAAATATTTTTCCGATGAAAAAGCAATTCCTTTGGAACGATAGAAAAGGTGAGGATTAAGAATCGATCTAACGTCGATGTTCTCGAGATGCCGGGAAGAAAATATTCTTGGAAATCTTGCTCTACTCGCGAACGTCTCTGCGACTTGTTATTTTTCTTTCGCGATCGCGCTCTTACCGACTTCCGCCAACGTTCTCCGAAAGCTCGTCGAGCCATTTCTCTCGCTGCGAACGGGACAACAGTCGAGTTTGTTCTTCGACTAACGGACCCGTCGACGAGCGAACTCTTTGCAGACAAAAATAGTGACGAAATAACAGAGGATTATATAAAGCTTCAAATAATTGTATCGACTCGCGAACAGAGACGATCGTTGGATTTTATGACTCCGTTCAGTCGGCAAAAATGTATACAAAGCGTCCCGAATGTTAAAGCTCGATCTTCGGTTCTCTCGCCGCGAAAACGGAGTTTCGGATCGTAAATCGATAGTCTCGCTTTTCGATTCCTTTTGT